CTACACATACACTGTTTATTGGGATATTTCGGCTTCCTCGAGCTCCTGCTGAGCCTTGCGGAATTTGGCCAGGTTGAGGGCGGCGATCTCCTCAGCCTCCTCGATCTGGCGCTTGTAGGTCTTGATCTTCTGCTGGAGCTTATCGACGAGGTCCTGCATCCTGTCGTGGTTCTTCTTGTCCTCATCCGACTGGAAGGCGAGCTCCTTGATGCGCCTCTCGCACTTCCTCAGGTTCTTCTGGGCGTCAGCGTGACGACGGGTCTCTTCGTCCAGGGAAGCCTCGAGTTCGCGAATGCGACCTTCCATGTTGCTGACCGCCCTTTTCCCTGTCCTCATAACTGTAGTTTCAGTCTCCTCAAGACGAGTCTGGAGATCCTTCACGGTGACCTCCAAGGCCTTTCGCATCTTGTCCTGAGCCATAGCATGTTCCTGTTCAGCGCGGAGCTCATCGGCCAGACGAGCAGCATCTAACATGGCCTTCTTCGCCTTCTCCTCTGAGTTCTTTGCCTCGCTGAGCATTTCTTCAAGGTCGGCCTAAAAGAAAGAAGTTAATCATTGTCAAACTGCCATATACATAGTAGTATCTGCAGAGAAAATGTATCTAGTTCTTTCCTACCTAGTAACTTATGAAAGGGAGATCTTACCTGTAGTGTCTGCATTTCACCTTCAAGTTTCCGCTTGGAGGCAGAAAGAGCTGTATTTTCGCTAGTGATACTGTTGATCTGTTCACGTGCGTCATTGAGTTCTGCCTCAGCTTGGCGCCGACCGCGGTCGGATTGCTCCAACAGCGTCCGGGATTCTTCAAGCTCTCCATGAAGGGCATTGGCACGGCGTTCAGCAATGCCATACTGTTCTCGATACTCAGAGGCGAGTCGCTGCTCTTCCTTGACACGGGCATCCATGTCCTTGATCTCATCTTGAACCTTCTTATAGTGTTTGTGAAGGTCAGAGTTTGCCTTATTGGCGTGGTCAAGGGCAATCTCGAGCTCATTGATGTCAGACTCAAGCTTCTTCTTCAAGCGAAGAGCCTCAGCCTTACCCTTGGCTTCAACTTCAAGGGACGCTTGCATAGAATCGATGGCTCTCTGGTGACACTTACTGTAAGAAATAAGTTGAAATAAACAATTTATACAACTAGATTGTTATCGCCGATAGCACTTACTCTAAATGAAACAATTCAAATCATAAATTAGTGGTAAATTCAGAATTTGGATTATTAGATTTTGTAGAGTAAACATTCCATAACAAACTACTCACCGAGTATTGTCAAATTCTTCTTCCTTTTCTTGAATACGTCTGTCAATTTCTTGTCTGACCTGTCCAAGCTCGAGCTGTGTTCGAAGGACCTTATTTTCTTCTTGTTCCAGAGCTGCTTCAGCCTCCTCAAGAGCAGCTTGTAGCTCTTCCTTTTCGATTTCTAACCGCCTGCAGTTCTTCTGAGCTTCGTGGTAGGCTCGACCACCTTCGCCAATCTGGTCCATCAGGTCTTTACTCTCATCATTAAGGCTTTTATTTTCTCGGCGGATGCTGTCGAGTTGTTCAATGTTCTCTTCATAAGCAGCCTTTAGGCGGAAGTGTTCGGTGGAGTAGTTGCGACATTCCTTCTGGGAGGCATCGAGTTCAGCAGAAAGGTCATCGACCTTCATCTTCCATTCAGAAATTATCTTATCGAAGTTCTTCTGTCTCTTTTCAGCAGCAAGAGCAAGGGTATTTGCACGTTCAGCAGCAACTTGAAGTTCTTCCAGTTCAGCAGCAGCACGCATCTTGGTCTTCTCAAGATGTAAGTTCCTAACATTGAGAGACTCGATTTGCATTTCGGCTTCCTCGAGGCGAGCGGCGAGCTTCATACGAGCAGCTTCGAGTTCCTCTGCACGGGCAACACCCTCAGACTCGTACTTGGAGCGCCACATGAGAGCCTCAGCGTTAGCCTTGGACAGCATGCGGAGAACGTCTCCCTTGGCTTCACTTTCCTCTTCCAGTTGATCGCGAAGAGCGTCGATATCGTGCTCCAGGTTTCGGAACTTACCTAGGAGAGTAGCCTTAGCCTGTTGGTGTATAAATTCATCTTAATTTCATTACCTTGATTCAAAATATAATTACAGAATAACCTTTACTATTTACTTTTCGTGATTTTTATGAATGCATGCATATTTATGCAGTATATATATATATATGTGTGTGTGTGTGTGTGTGTGTGTGTTTCTGTATAGATAGATATATAGTTATATGTGGAAACATAAATCTAGAGATTTGTAGTATATTCATATATATATGATATTGATATATATGCGATATTTATATTTATATTATAGCTTACCCTGCTTTCCTCATCTGCCAGTTTCCTGGTGTCGTCCAACTGGTTCGTAAGAGATAGTTTCAGCCTTGACAGCTGGCCAACTTGATTCTCAGCCTCTTCCATCTGACGAACAAGGTCGGCATTTTCGCAGGAAAGCTTTTTCTTGGCGGCATCAAAATCATTCAGAGTGCGATTGACCTCATC